GGGCATAGTAATCAACATAGCTGAGAAGATTAAGTGAGAATCTTTTCACATATGTGAATCTGTGGTTCCTAATAAAATGTAGACATCCATAAATAGCAGCTCTTGTTTTCACTGTGCCTTTTCTGTGAGCTTCCACCCCAAAACATCCTCCCATTTTACACTGACTTGGCGATCTCTGAGAAGTGAGTAGCAAAGGCCACAATGAAGTCAGACCTCAGCCAACAGTTCCTCATGTGACTCGTGGCATTGTGTTCCTTAGCAGCTCAGCTCAACTGGCTTCCAAAGCAGGTGTGCAGAGACACCATCAAAGTAACAGGCAGAAGAGAAGTGACCCTGTGTCTGTTCTGCATCTGACACCCTGACACCACCATGGAACTTGCTGGGTTCTAAGGGCAGACTCTTTATTACAGTACTGATGTAAGAGGCAGGGGAAACAGCTGGATTTCCAGATATTGAGTAGAATTTGTGGCTCCAGCAGCCCTTCAAAATTACCCTTAACTTAAAAAACTTAGTACACTGGATATGGAAGACATTAAAGGGGAATAAATACAAAACTCGTGAGGTCATTTTCACTGAGTCTTTTTTTATCCTTTAAGCAATAAAACATGACGGACCATGCAGTAGCTCTGATTAGTAGACCCTCAGGTGTGTGCAGACACCTGAGAGGGCAAATAAGGAAATAGGGGTAGAAGATACTCTGCCAAAAAAGCTGGCAGATCATAGCAGCAGGATGTGAAGGAGAAGGCTTTCATTAAAGGACAGGAAGATTATGACTCTGTTTAACCACAAATTTCACACTTTTAGTAAACTATTATGTGCACTGAACATGTACAGTTACCTAATTACATGGAGAATATCTGTATATTGCCAGGTATCTATTCACTGTAATGTGGGAGAATATTGATCAGTGATTTTCTTTATTATCTTAATGTAGTTGCCAGGAGATAAAAAAGTTCATCGAGATGAAGAGTTAATAATCTCTAGCCATACAATGGATTAGAAAGAACAATGAATAATAGCTTGTGAGCCCAGTTTTGCTGGTTATGTGGCTGCTAAGGTAAACGGTTCAATGCATAGCACCTCTCCACCATACCAGCCAAAAATGTTTGATAAATATTACTATCTTCTTCTTCTGCTGGGTAACGATGAGTTGATGAGGTCTTTGGTACTGTAGACTAATATTTAAGAGGAAGCCTTCCTGGCCAATAATAAATGACCGATAGGCCCCGAAAGATCTGTTTTATTTGCTATGGTAAACACCACTATCCCAAGACAGTTGTTTTGGTTTTAGTTTTCATTTGGTTTGGGTTGTTTCTTTGTTCATTTGTTTTGTTTTAGCGTTTCATTTAGGACTAAGAAAAGATGAATCTGTTTGAGGTCAGAGGAGAAATGGAACAAATAATACTTCTTCCATCTTTGGAAGAAAACAAGGCAAAAAAATGAGAAGGGGCTTAGGGCAGCCACCTGCACATTTCTGAGTAAATCATTAAATAAGGAGAAAAATAAGTGCAAATTTAAGCTCACCCAGTACACAGAAAGTAAGCAAGCTTGCTGGGAAAAAAAGTGTTAATGCAGCAAGTCTGCCAAATGGCTATGATGGATTAACTGGAGTATTGATGTAGCCTGTTTTCACAAGGAACCATAGCTGAAGCCATGGCCTTTGCAAGTGTGAGGATCCTCATTCCAGTCTTCAGTCTTAGTTTGTCAGTCCAATGGTATTTTCAGTATTATCACAATTGTTACTGCTGGTAATGTTAGAAAATCTGCTTCTTTGCTGTTATGATCCACCCTCATTTTAAGGCATTTCAAAACATAAAGTGCTATTTATTCTCTCAGTCTGTTGAAGCTAATAAGTGAAACAAGTTTGTTATTTTTGAGACATAGTATACACCCAAACTCTCCCTGTCTCTGGTATGACCATTGCTCTTGGTGGTCTGGTGGCCTTATTGGTATTCAACAGGCACTGACCTATTTAAAGATACAAGGCATTTTCTATCAGTTGTCCTTGCTTAGTTACTAACAAGGATAGGACCTTGCGCAAGTTGGCTCCCTTAATACCCTGTCTGAACACAAAGACAGTGGGGTAGATGAGCTTCAAAGTTCTTTCAGTTCATCCTCAGTTTCTATGACTTCTAAGCAAGGTACTTTATTCCCTTGGAATTCCACCCAGCCAACCTCAGCTAAGCACACATCCATATGTTAGGCATTGCTTATGCAAAATGTTGTACTAGGGAGGCAGGAAAAGAGGTATGGTCCTGATTCTGCACACCATAAATGGACTTTGCCAACACCTCTGTAGCCAAAGACAGAGTCATAAGAGAAAAGCCCAAGAAATGCATTAGACACTAGAGACTTCAGGACGAAGACCCAAGATCCAGGGTTGCTGTCAGTGTTTAAGCTGGCTGGACAATGGACAGCTGTGTGGAAATATGATTGGTCGAAAGGAGTGTGACCTAATGATAGTAGACCGAGCATGGAAACCCAGCAAGTCCTGTCTGTTCAGATTCTTGCTGGCCTCTCTGTACAGCATTCCTTCTATCTGGGTATGAACAGGACCATTTCTTAACCTGGGGTCTTAAGATCTTCTCTTCCAAAGAAGGTATGTCAGAACATTTGTAGCCTTTTCCTACATAGAAAGGCACAGGAAGAATAGAACATCTTTAAGCTTCACGACCTGCTTTTAGGGATGGGGTTCTAATTTCTGTCTCCTGCTTTGCAGAAAAGAGTCTCTTGTTTCTGTGACTTGTCTTATGAAGAGAGGAGGCAAGAGAGAGGAGGCCAGGAGAGGGGCAGACAGAAAGGTTGGTTCTGAAGTCTCCACCCTAGGGCTTTATCTCTGCTCTCCAGAAGTAGGGGGACAAATGGTACAAGTGACTGGAGTTGGTAGAATGTGCCAAGGGATTCTGCAAATGAGGACATTTCCCTTTGAGAAATGCTTCCTAAATGAGACAGTGTTTAATGGCTCTTAAAGGCACTATGTAGACACTAGAAAGAGAGGAGAGTACTATGAACATGTATGTAAGAATGGGGCTCTGCTGGTATATAGAATGAACTAGAGGGTGAAGAATCAAAAATTGGATCAGGGCTACCTTATAACAGTACACAAGGAGTCATTGCTCAAAGGAGCATTACACAAAACGTTTAGGCTGGCATTTTAGAACACTAGTGTAACAATGGTAGAAAGGTTTAATGTTGGTATAAAGTAGAGAGAAACTACAAAAATAGAGGCAGTCAGAAGATGGTCTCAGATGTTCTGGCAGCAGGTGGTAAAGAGACAAGAGAGTCAAGAAAATTGGCCAGAGAAAGAATTACGGGTTTGGTGGCTGATTTCATATGGGAAGGCAAAAACATCAGGATAAACATCAGGATAACTGCTCAGCTACAGACAAGTTCCAGAGTAGAAACGGCAGCAAGAGTGAGGAAATGAAAATTCTGGGGAAACAACAGGTTTTGAGGAAAAGACAGCGAGGCCTATCTTTACTTTCTAATTTAAAAGAGTCTGGTACTATTCAATGGCGATGCAGTTCCGCAGTGTTAGAGACCCTGAATTGCTCATCTTCCAAAGGGTCTACTAGATACAGTGTGCACACTGGGTGAACAGATGGGGAGTGCACTGGTCACTGGCTGAATTCACAGTATAGATCTAGTGCACTGCAGAAAGCAAGAGCTACAGAGAGCAATGGAGACACTCTGAGAACATGCTTACTGAGGTCTAGGCAAGTTTTCTAGACAAACCCTTCAGCAAGAATGTTAAAGAACTTATGTATCAAGGAAAGAGGAGAAGGAAAACAAGCCAGTGCAGGGGACAGAGCAGCAGACAGCCAAGATAGTGTCTTGCCCCTATCACAAAGGTGGGTAAGTTTCAGGGACAAAATGGACCCTGAGCACGACCCAGAGAGCAGGGATGGGGTGGGGAAGACCTGTGAGCTGGGGGCCCCTAGAGACAGATCATAATCTACACTTTCTAAGGCTGTACTCCCTGGGGTTAAAAGATAAGAAAGGGAGAGTCTTCTGTTCTCCTGAAGGCAGGAATTCAAACCAGGTAAGTGGTTGTCTTCAGAAGAAGCAGTGACTGAGCAGTAGAGAGGCAGAGACAGAAGGGAATTAACTATAGCAGAACTGTGATACACATAGACACTGTGGAGTACTACTCAGCCTTGAAAAAGAAGGCAAGCTTGTCATTATACACCATGAGTGAACCTAGAAAGCCATTAGGTACAATAAGCCAGGCACAGAAAGATAGATATAGCATGCTCTCTCTTACATATGGAATCCAAAAAAAGTGGAACACTCAGAAACAGAGAATGAAATGGTGGCTAACGTAGGCTAGAGGGTTGTTGTTCAAAGAATGCAAAATTTCATTTAGATGTTTTTCTAGTCTAAACAAGAATTTTATTCGAGACAAGACAAATAAGTTCAAAGATTTTTTTTCTCCTTCTTTTCTCCGTTCTCTTCCTCCAGGCAGCTGCTGAGATTTACAGTTTGCCTGCCCTAGGATTTAAAATATTTTTTTTTAAAAAAAGTAATCATTATCACCACAAAACATAAATATATGAGGTCACAGATATACTAATTAGCTTGATTTGTCGATCCCACAGTGAATACAAATCTCAAAATATTGCGCTAACGTTATATGTGCTACAAATTGGTATAATGTGTGTCGACTACCAACCAACCAGTACATAGAAAACATCATGGAATGATGCCACCCCCAGTGTCTCTGTTCTGATCCCTGCTCAGCTTCCCAAAGCCACTCTGTCTGTACTGCTGGGGTGCTCTGATGTCTGAGACCATCCCAAAAGTCAGCAGAGACACTACAGGCACAGAGCCCCATCTCTGTCTTGCCACCTTCTGAAGCAAAGATGTGGCACCAGCTGTAGTCACAGTCCTTATCTTGTGTCTCTTACAACACTGTTAAATACACGAACAAAGCATGCAGTAAAAAAAAAGCATTCTACTCAGTTCATGACCTTGTTTGTTTTGTTGTTTGTTTATGCTAGATGCAGCCATTCTCTGTCCCCTGCCCCAATGAACATCTGGACTAGGCCCAAGCCTTGGAGTGATTTACCTGAAGAGTGACACCAATTATCTGGAAACTACTGTAAGTATCTTATACCTCTAGTGAACTCATTTACTTTGTTTAATAAGTGGTGGTGGTGGTGGTGGTGGTGGTGGTGGTGGTAGTGGTGATGGTGGTGTGGTGATGGTGGTGGTGGTGGTAGTGATGAACCATGCAACTGGAAAAGCTGGAAAAATTTCACATAGCTTCACCTCTTAGGATCAGCAAAAGTGACCAGTCCCAATACCCACAGCAGAGTTCAGCTACCAGCACTCATTGCGTGCATACCTGGGTAGTATTCTCCCCCGCCCATCTCCTGTGGCTGTATCTCTGCACACGCGGCAGGGAGTAGAGCTGTTCTGCTTGGTCCTACGTGCCCCTCCCCAAGTTGGTTGTGGCTACTCTCCCTGTATATATAGCTCGTCAGCTGCTAGTCTACAGAACCTCATGCTTACTTGTCACTTCACATCACCCTGGTCAAATCCGAGAGCCAGCTCAGCTTTCCCATGCTTGCATGATCTCTGATCTCAGGCAACCATGCTGTTGCCTCCCTGCAAGTGTAAGGAGCCAAGGCTTGCCTTTGGGACCCTGGGCCCCTTCCACCATTATTTCCAGCCCATCCTGCCAGCTCTGCTGTGCCCACTGGATGCATGGCTCTGTGTAGCTGATTGGGTTCCTTATACACTGGGCATTTCTGTATAAATAGCCCTCACAAGAAAGTGTGCAGAAATAAGATAGGGCAGGAGGTTCAATATCCACAGGAAAATAATGAAAATTTATTAACTAATTATATTTAAACTAATAGATGAATATATGTTTTTTTATTCTAAAAAAGGCCAAAAATTTGAATTGTTTAGAAGCCATGCATGTAAAATAATTATGGATGAAATCTCATTTTAATTGTACTTACAAATTCTTCTGTACAGTATGAGGCAGGTAATGAGATGATGTATTTGTTTATTTGTTGTTTTTTTTTTTTTAACTGAAGTCTCTGTTACCAGAAAACACTAAATTAATAATCTTCTTAGGTGCCAGGTAGTACTTTCACATTCATATTACCCATGTCTTTAGCTGTTCTAGCGTACCTCAAAACCAAAGAAATGAAGCTAGAATTTTGTTTTGTGTCTTTTTACCTGTAGTGCATTTGGTCTTATGACAGTAATTGATGATGGCTAGTATGTAGGTGATGAACAGGCCTTGCTAGCCAAGATGGGGAAAGAAAAGCATTGAGAACTGGGATTGATGGCATGAGAGAAGACCATGCGTTGTTTCTTCAGTGTGTAAGCACATGGGGAACTTACTTTCATAGTTCATCCTTACACTCAAGTGCAAGAAGTGCACACTTCTCACACCTGAATAGTATCTCTCGCCTAAATTTTCCTTCAGCACAAAGTAAACCTGTGTCAGCAGTGCAGTCACGCTAGGGTGTGGAGTGATACTGAGGGGTGTATTGCTTGCAGCTCCTACATTCTTGTGTGCAGAGAACTCAGACCGAAGAACTGGGATCTGACCTTTTTGAAAATTGCAGGGAAATCTACAGTCACATGTTTTGTCACAGAAAAAATATTTCATCTTCTTCTGAGCTCCAGAGATTGGGGTAGACTGAGTTACAACCCCAATAGAAACTGCTTCCTTACACACACAAAGGAAATAACTCCTGATGTGGGAAAACTGTAAACATAGGACCTTTGAAGTAGTGTGCCCTTCCCGGGGCTGCCAGCACTGTGTACCTGTTCTCAGTGTTTGAGAGGTAATGGTGAAGCACTGCTGGATTTGAACACATTACCTACACACATGCTCAGGCTTGCCTGCTGACTCATTGTTGTGATAACTAAATGAGATGGTGTATATATAGGGTCTGGCATGGCAGAGATGACTATGTCTACTCAATCCACTAAGATTACTGAGTGTTCAGTGGGTGTCACTATTCTGGGCACAGCGATATGTAGCAAGGAACACAAACAAAGCCCCACTTACTCAGTTCCCCTGCTCTATAAATGGCAAACAGACAAAGTAGGTTCGTAGAAGCTAACAGAGAACTGATTTGATTTTATTTTGCTTTTTCCTTCCAGAAAGTATAATTGAGAGGAGCAGGGTGAAGGAAATGCAAATGCGAAAGGGAAGCAGTAGGTACGCTGAGGAATCTTGCCAACCCATCTCCCATCCCCTGTCCTAAAGCGTGACTCAGCGACCTCGACCTCTCGGGACTCCAGTGCCCAGGCTGTCCAAGTCAGACTGTAAGACCCCGCCCTAGGGCCATCCTGACTCCTTCAGAGAAAGTGCCCACTTTAGCTTAACTAATTCAAAGATGAGATCAACAACTCTCCATGGTCTCCCATGTCTAGTGCTTCACCGTGCCTTGAGCGTCCGTCCCTTAATCTCACCTTTCACACCTCAGATGAGGTCCCTCCATCCACCTCCCTTCAGTTAAAACCTTTGCATGTGCGTTACTTCCTTCCGGGATAATGACCACGGTGAGGGGGGAAAGACACTGGCACAATGATTGTAAATCAGCCCTGCCAAGAAGAAGGGGGAAAAGATTGAGATAATAAACTGCTCTAATCATGAAAACATTTTAAATTAATGTGAGAATACTGGGCCCTGTCATGAAAGGATAAATTGTAAGAAGGCGTGATAAAAAAGAGTCCCGTAGGTGGGTGTCCATGAATAGGCCACAGTGTTCTGGCTCATGGGCGGCTGCAGCTTGCTTGACCCTCAACTCTGAGGACCTCTCAGCACAGCCACAGCAATGACATCCATGTGAACAGAAGAGGGGCAGCTAACATTCCTTCTTCCTTCACGACAATTAACCCCTGACCCAGATACTCAAAATACTACTAAGATGACGGTGTCTTACTTACATAGCTAACATGAACACCACAAAACTAATATTTTTCAAAAAGCTCCATTATCCAGCACTTGGTTCTGGACCAGCACTGTACTAAGCACAACCCGCCTCATCTCCTTTATTCCTACCCACAGCCCATAGCTGGAAGGCATCACTGTTCCCATTTTACAGATGGGGAAGATAAGGGCTCCGACATGCAGAATAACCTGCCTTGGACACATGGCTGCTAGCTAGTAGAGCTCTGTTTTCCTAAATTCCTCTCTCCAGGTAGGAGGAGTACTGGTGGCTTTTTACTTCATCCCCTCTCCCATCCCCAGACACTCTACAGTTAAGGAACAGAGTAAGTAGGGAAATGGTTATGACTCCAGAAAGACCGGGAAAGGCATCACTGATCTAAATTATCTTGATCCAACGACTTCGTAATTATTTATCAAAGGGAGGTTCTGACTAATTCTTTCTATCCAACCATGCTGATCAGTGGAAAGCATGTTAATGTGCAGAAGAGGGTGGGAGCCCAGTGGAAGGAGAGAATTGGAGGAGAGAGAGAGAAAGATGAAGAGAGCACTCGCCTCTCAACAGACCCTGGAGACTGATAAGAGCTCACATGGATAAAATATTTATTTTTCCATATGTTGCAAAAAGCACTGCTGCCACTGTGTGTGTGCAATATGTGCGAAGGAGTGTGAACTATATACATCCAACACCACCGATCTGCCTAATTTCCGTGCATTTAACAGGCTCAATACCTAACAGCACATCCATATGTTTCAATGCATATTTCTCTGCACAAACAATATGGTCTAGTTCGGAAAGAGCCAACATCCTTCACAGCCTCACTCACTGCTATGTTTCAGCCCTAAACTTACTGTGGGGCCAGCACAGGGAGAGTTAAAAACCAGAAGGCTCTGCTGGCCAGCTCAGCTGCCCTTCACCTTAAACGCCTTCCTATTTCTTAAAGCAGCCTTTTTCTCATAACAAAAATGTTCACAGTGGGGAGATGAAAATGTTTTTGTTCTCTTTGGACAATTGGGACATGTTCAGTCAGAATGTCAGAACTGACCGTTGAAAGGCGGGTGCCTGCAGCCACACTTTTTTCTTTCTTTTTCTTTTTTTTTTTTTCTTTCTTTTTTTGAATGCAGAGCTGCACCAGTGTGGCGGGAGGAAGTGCACAATGATTGGCCTGTTGTTCTGTGGAAGTGTTCAGGGGACACCCAGTTTTGCTTTGCATATATTTACGAAACATCTGCCCTTTTCTTGTTCTGAAGTCTCTCTCCCTCACGGTCCCCTTTCTCCTTTCCCCCCGGGTTTTTCTTTGTTGTTGTTGTTGGCTTCTCTGACTTCTATGCTGAAGTTTTCATTTTCCGGTTGAGGGGCGACCTCATCAGAGTGTATTTTTTTTTTTTTGAGAGAGAGAGAGAGAGAGAGAGAGAGAGAGAGAGAGAGAGAGAGAG